ACAGTCTGTCTTTATCTTGTTTTCTTAATGGCCAAGTTTCTGCACCGTACAGCAGAACTGGCCGAACTATTGCAGCATATACTCGACCCTTCACAGACAACCGGATGTCACGACGGCGCCGCAGACGTCTTAAGTTAGCAAATGCCAACCGAGCCTTCTGTATGCGAGCTGACACTTCATCCGTGATGCGTCCACCGAGTGTAATGTAGCTGCCCAGATAACAAAACTTATCCACCTGCTCTACTACTTCCCCAGTTTGAGTGAGGCTGGGTGTTGGACCAACCCAGTCTTGTAGTAACATTTTACACTTTGAAGGTGCAAAACGCATACCGAATATGGCTACACTGGCATTTGAGTTATCCAGAAATGCTTGTAACGTACCTGGATCTTCACTTAGTAGTACAATGTCGTCTGCATACTCTAGTTCAGTTAGCCTGCCACTTGGGAGTAAATCGATGCCACTATCCTCGCATGATGATAGGGCTGTTTCCATAATCAGATCTATAGAAATGGAGAGAGAGGGCAACCCTGTCGAACACAGCTTTTTGTGGTGAACTCGGGTGAAAACGTGCCGTAAACTCGGACTCGGCCTCGGCTATGAGTATAGAGGGATCGTAATATTGCAATATGCTTCTCGGACACACCTTTCAGCAAAAAGGCAGCGCCAGAGTTTACAGCGGTCGACTGAGTTGAAGGTCGCTTTAAGATCCNGATGATGGGTCTACGAAAAGAATGTCGGAGCTCCAGAGTTTGGCGAACAGTGAAGATGTGATTGATACAACCTCTACCAGGCCTAAAACCAGCCTGGTTCTCACGCGTGTACTCTTCACGCGCGAAAGACAATCGACGGAGTAGCAATGTTGATTAAACTAATTCCTCTGTGGTTTTCACAAGAGGATCTATCACCTTTCTTGTAAATCGGTATGATGACCGATTCACACCATTCAGCTGTAATCTGTTCCCTCTCCCACACAGTCCAGGAGTTTCGTAAACTCCGAAACCAATGGTAAACCTCCATCCCTAAAAACGGATGGGGATAGCCCGTCTGGGTCTGAGGCTTTATGCCTTTTGAGATAACTTATTTCCCGGGAAACCTATTTCAGATGAAGGACTGGCATCGACTGACAGAATTTGCGCAGTCGCGAAGGAGAGTGACAGTTCAGATGTCGATGTTGGCCAGTTGAACTGAGCCTTGAAATGTTCAGCCCATCGATCAAGACGTCGTTGCTACTCGTGAATCAGTGTGCCATTGGATTCCTCACACTTATTTTCTTAGGACCCGTATTCCTAAATAGACGGAAAAGATTGCGGCTATTACCCATAGCCGCAGCCTTCTCCATCTCTCCACACTTTCCTATCCACCACTTCTCGCGGTCATTCCTCAGACTCTTAATGAGCTGGCGTTTGAGGGATTTTCGCGCCGTGTCATCCGGAGGAAGGGTTCTGCGGGCGTCCAACTGGGCAGCCGAGGTCGATGAGAGCCATCGTTTATGTTTTGAGCCTGCGTGAGGGTCTGACGTTGTTTTTATTGATATTTGCATAGCTTCCTTGATTTGTTTCCAGTGTTCATTGAGTCCTTCGGCTGGTGGTTGAACTAACAGGCGATCGAAGATTTCCGCCTCGAAGGCCGATTTGGAACAATCGCTGACGTTGTATCGTAGGTATCCGTTTTCGGTGTTTTTTTACGGTTGTTTGCCAGGCGTAAGGAGAATTTGGCGCGTAGCAAAGCGTGATCCGTATCAACAGGTTTTGATCAGTAAGATCGGCGGTCTTGAATCGATCCAAAACATCAAACCATGACCTTTCGGGAACGTATAAATACGTGAATTGGAATTGACCGCTTCGTGTTAGGTCTTCCGGTGGGAATCCAATTGGCCCTTAGAGAAGCAATATTGTAACGGTGACGCTCGTGCATTTTATTTTCTTTGCTCTTCGCATTGCACAAATTCTATGCATT